GTGGGGGTTAAAAGACATATCCTGATCAAAAATAACACCAAGGTTCTTCACATTAGAACTGGAGGCCAGATTAATGCCATCCAGAGAAAATTAAAGGCTGCAAAGATGATCCCTAACCCCTAATTTACACTACATGCGTTCCGGCTCCGCTCCGGTCCGACCTCTACAGCAAATAACGCAGCCATTGTAATCAATGAGAGTATTTACACTGGCTCCACACAGCGGCAGTGAGCGGCGGTGAGCGGACGGTGATCTGTCAAAATAGAAACAGATCCTATTTCTGCTGGATGCCGGAGCTGCGCCGGAGTCAATTTTTAAAGATTATGTCGCACCAACAGGAAAAGAACGACCACAACACCCGTATTTATGAAATAAGACACCATAATTTTGTTGAAATTGCAGCTATATTAATACATATATGGATATACTTCTACACAAATGCTGTCAGAATATATCGTTCTGTTTGGGAAGCAGATGGCAACAYGTACTGTAGATGAAGCATATGTGTACACACACGATACAYGTGGATTTTATTTTGAAATCAGAAGTTTCAAAAAGGCGATAGTGATAYAGTTTCAACCATAGATATTAAAAGCTTTTATATCTATGTTTTCAGCTGTGTTTKGAGTTCATCTTTCACAGAAATAATTATTCTTTGCTCTGACTTCTGCATTTATCACTGGATCCTTCCTGCACACGCTCCCTGTGTGTCGGACCGGAGCTGAGCGGAGGCTGTATGAATTGGGATGCAAACAAACAGCTGCGAACTGCGCACCACAGCGCAGTGGAGCGTAGTCGCATGTAGTGTAAATCCGGGGTAAGATGTTCAGGTCCAAAAACCATAACCTCTGTCTTACCAGAGTTTAGCAGCAGAAAGTTAAGAGTCATCCATGTTTTTGTGTCTTTTAGACATGCTTGTAGTCCAGGATAATAATAACTGAGTATCATCTGCATAACAATAGAAATGTATCCCATGCTGTTTAATAACTTTACCTAATGGAAGCATATATAAAGTAAAGAGGATTCGTCCAAGCACTGAACCCTGAGGAACTCCATGACTAACTCTAGTGTTAGAAGAAGATTCATTAACATTAAAAAACTGAAATATATCAGTTAAACAAGACTCAAACCATTTTAGAGTTGTTCCTGTATTTCTAATATCAAGTTCAAGTCTACACGTAATAAAATACTACTTAATGTCTGTAAAATTGACTGAGTATATTATAT